AGCAGTACGCACCCATCACCCCGCCCCACCAAGGATCTGACGTAGGACCTTCAGCTTCTGTGGGCAGCACGTTACCATCGAGCCACTAGGTCCATACTTCCTACTTTTGTCAGTTCACGATATAGCGTGACCTATATCCAATGTCGTCGTTGAGTAACTGTCCTCATGTTCGACTTGGCTGACTCTATTCGTCACGACTTCTCATCGAAACTTCATGAACCACCTCTCGAAGTTTGTCTCTGGAGCCTAACCAACTTTATATTCTCTAGTCCTTAGTGTTGATCAAATTCTGTTGATCATTTTTTTAAAATAGTTTCCAGGTTGAGGAACTCAGTATCACAGCGCGCTCTGACTGATGCACTGCGATACTGAGTCTCCTAGCCTGATTATCATATTACAAAATGATCGATAGAATTCTATCAGAACTTAAACTAAACAATATGAAATCGGTTACTCTTCAGTGACCAATCAACTTACTCCATGATTATAAATTTCAGTACAGTTGAGTACTACACTTTTAGGAAAGATAGTAATCTTTTACGTGTTACTGCGTGTATTGTAAGATCTCAAAAGTAGATATTATTGGAAAATCTAAGTCGTTATTTTGCAAATTTAGTTTCACGTGTTGGTAAATACAGTCATCATGAATCGAAATTACATTTTCTCGTATTCACTAGACACTCATATTTCTTTGTTTACCAACAGATTTGTCTGTGTTTCAGCTATCAAAACTGAACTCACATTTTGTTGTATTAACATGGAGACAGTGGATACACACAATGATGTTAGGAGTAAAAGAAAGGGACCTGATTTATAGTCTATTACTTTCATGTAATTTAAGTGAAGTAGTTGAAGGCAAATTTAATGGGTTGGTATAATTGATATGCGTTGGTCCGAATTAGGTTCATAAATTCGCCAATTTCATTAAAGACATACAGACGAAATCAACGTAGGACCTCGCACACAAATGTATCGGTTCAAGCCACTACACTTCACAGTAGCACACAAAAATGTAGAGGGAAAAAGACTGATATCAGAGTAGAAAAAGGTATATGGGAGGAGAATGAATTCAAAAACGAAGGTTAGTCGAAACTTTGGAGTCAGAGAATGAATACATCTGAGCCGTTGTGACCTATTTCCAGCCGTCTCACCAAGAGTCTCCAACCACTGATTCCTGTTGTCTCTAGGACCCCATCCATGTAGTTTACACCTCTCTACACAGCTCAGTCCAACAGTCAGAGACGTCGGGACCGGTGCTGATTCTTGATTTGTCCACTCTAAATTTCCTTCCAACCTGATCCAGCTTCTCCCAGCATTGCACGTTGAGGTAGGCATTGACTCGACATGAGCGGCACATGTGCAAGCCACCTCAGTAAATGATGTTTCACAACCTCAGCGACTGACTCACTTTCCTTGTCTGGTTAATCAACATTGCCTACATGGTGACTCCATAATACGTAGGCAATGGTACAAAGACAACTGTGGTCGAAAATCTGCAATCTCTTCATAACTCCTACTTTCAGTGTCTATATTTTGTAGCCCTATAATAGGACAGGGCAGACTACAGTGCAGTGTATTCGCCCTCTAAGAGTTAATGGGATATCTAGTCGGCCCCGGAGATGACATAAGTTGACGAGTGCCGAACGAGCCTTCTGTATCCGAATTCACGATTTGACTGCTGCAGATAGCTGAAGTAGTCAACGCATCCTACCACTTCACCCCCTATCTTCATATCGAAAGTAGATGCAGGCCAGTATCAAAGCATGATCTTACATTTGACAAGTGCGAAACGCAACCCAAATATGCCCAGATTTTTCCCCAGCACGTTCAGAATACCCTTCGTTTGTTTGGGTCTCCACCTAGCAACAAAATACCAGCTTTGTGACCAAGTCAGGCACATGCCCTCCGCGGAGTAGATCGATCCCTGTGAAGTCAGAGATAAGTGGAATTATGTCCACTATTGCATCTTTAATGAATTTGAACAGCATTGCTGATAGTGGGCATCCCTACAGCACCCCATTTCATCACATTCGGGAAGCAGTTTCCTACCTGACTTATACTGAAATATTCCTACTATTATTTATTACATTATCACTACGTGTACACTGAAAAGTATTTTTTCCCTATTAGTATGGGAAATTATGGCAACCTTAAGAAATACAATTTTACAAACTTCATACCCTTCACCTTCTGACTTTGTCGTTGCTGTCGTGTTTTTGGGGTCTGTTGATCAAAAGAGTCCTAAACAGAAAAAATATATCATCCAAGTCAAGCTGAGACTATACTTATGTAACCACGCTTAAATCACAATGATACAACCATTACTTACCTTTCTGCAGAGAGACTCACAAAAGTGTAACCAATGCACAATTATAAGTTAATGACGATCTGTCTGTTTCCAGAAAGCTTGCTTCCAGGAAGTGACGGAAAATACAGGAGCGTTGAGTCTAGTCTACCATTACTGAACAGCCAAATATTTTGGTTATGATATAACCTGAGTTATACATGTGTATGAGAGTGAGGACTTGAACAACAGCCTTAATTGTGGCACAGTTTCTTAGTGAATGGAAAAGGCGGTAACGTAACTGAAGGTGTGTCGCAACGTCAAAATATCTACAACATACAACGTTTTACATACATTTACAGTGGCCTTAACTATTTCCAGTGCACTCTACTGATTCTGTTTCTTCAACCATTCTGGCATCGAAACACATGTTCACGTGCCTTTTCCGGGCACTTTGAAGCAAAGTGATTAGTTGCGGAAGGCTTCAGTGATTAACGGCTTCTTACGAGGATCAAGAAAATCTTATTGCACACCAAAGTGGTTTTCATTATTTTGGTTGTCTGACATCTCAATACTAGTATATCGGTTATCCTGTTTTAGTTTCCGCTTGCTTCGTTGCATCTTATATTCAACAAACTAAATAAAACATAAAATTTAAGGTTAGTAACCAATTTTACTTGCATATTTTTCTACTGAAAACATTTTAGCCAGACTTCTTTCACAAACAGAATATATAATTTCATTTTGAAAACTGGGTTTACTTAATTTTGTTCGTTGTGGCCTTATGGAGAGCAATTTGAAAATTCTAGCGCAGAGTATATTTGAGAATTTTCTTTTTTGCACCTGACAAAACAGTCGTTTACAATTTTTACGTTTCTTATTTTGTATGCAACCTAACTGCCTAATATGTCTTCATATCTAGGTCTTCTAATACTGAATTCCCTACCTTGCTTCTACTTATTTTTCGTCCATTGTTTGTATTGCTATATTTTGCTGTTGTCTCTACAACCCTTAAGTATTTGCATCAAGTTTGTCTGACTCACCTCAGATTGCTGTTTTACTTTACTCTGAATGATACTGTGAAGCTATTTCTATGATCTGATGCCAACTATTTGCTAGGTTTCTTTCTGCTATTTGGTATTATCCTAGTAATAAACTTGTTATCGAACAACAGAATCACTGTTTGAAAGGAATACTGCACGTTAAAGCTGAGGATTTTATCGAGTATATCAATTAGTTAAAAATCCATTCTGGATTCTGTAACTGGATATCTCTGTAATCACTCGAACTTCCATCTAGCTTCCATGAAAAAGTTAACAGTATGTGTCTTGTTCCGTCCTCTTTCTTTTCGGCATTGTGTTACAGCTGAAAGAATTGTTCACTCATCTCGTCTCCAATCCTGTAGACACTTTTTGGAAGCTTGACATTCTATCATAAAGGTTTATGTGCCAAATATCAGTTTTTCAGTGTTAAATGTCACGAAAAATTCCTAAATTTCAACGAGAATCGAACAACTAACTCCTGATATTGTCCAAGATAAGTTTTTAATGATGCTTTCTCAACTATTCACTTATTTAAATAGCTCTTGTGGAACAAGCTTAGAATGACATAATTTACAATTTCTTCCTTAATTTTGTCCATCATGACCGTGGGCAAACAGAATGATCATGCACATGAAGTTAGCAATTATGTTATTGACGAAAGTTACCACACAAAAATTCCAAAACATCTATCACTCATTGACAAAATATTTCTAAATTTTGTGTGATTTTACTATTTTAAATATCATTTTTATGCAAAGTACTCAAAAGACCATGAAACAAACCAAGCTAGACTTAAGCATCGTCATCAGTAACAATAAACCTTCTTTGGGAGGTTCAAACCAAGTCCTCCTTATGAAGTGCAATGAAAACTCTGATTTCATACTATTCAGTATCTCGAAAGCAACATGTCTCCAAAAGAGTGAACAAACAATGGATCTGGGGTCAACTTGACACTACTTTGAGCACCATTCATACCACCTGGTTCATGTGGGGTGTACAAAAGCTGAATTCATACTTCATACTTCATGCAAAATATCTTGAGGCAGTCACTCAAATATGATTTAGGAAGTACATTTTGATGTTGTTTATGGAAATATATTGCATGGTGAATTGTTTCGTCTGACAGACAGATCACCAATCGCTTCTCCTAATTTAGACTAGACAGAAGAACTACAACAGTTAAATCCTTTTCGTAACTAAATATAGGATCTCAAGAAACATATTTCTACTAAACAGATCATATGCTTAAGTGAGTTGGGTCAGTTATACGGTGAATTCTCAGCTTTCTTCATGCCTGTAAATAGCGTAAATTACGTCCAATTGAAGCGGTAGTAGAGAGGTGACAACACATCATTTTCTCCCAATATGACTTTCATGCCTGAAAACAAATCTAATTACTAAATTCATAACTCCCATTTTGACATCAAAAACGAGAAATTAAGCGAAAAAGACTCTTTTCAGCAAGTTTATTCTCAAACTGTACATTCATTAGTATGTAATATTTGAAAACTACATTTCACAAGGAAATTTAAATGAGTAAAGGAAATGATATTTTCCTCATTTTCGTAAGTTATATGTACTTGACACTCCTCTTCACTAAGTTTATTGTTTATGATATCTAATTATTATCAACTCACCTGACCAATGGTTATAAGTTTTCTTCTTATTTTTAGTTTCTGAAGGTGTCAGAATACTTGTTCGGTCAGTTTTGCGCACAAGAGACCTAGATCTTATAGCGCCTCAGGACTTCACTCAAGGTAACACTATGTTGCATGTACTTTTACCCTACTATTATCCATATATATATATATATATATATACAGCTCATAATCACATTGATGCGATTATGAGCAATAACTTTGCTCGAAACTTCATCAAGTAAATAATACTAAGTCACTGAGTGTTATAAATCAAATAAACAAATCTGATATGGAACTAAATTCTACCACAGTGCCCAAGTTTTACACCTTTAATAAATTCCATTTTAGTTTGTTTATTAGAAATTTCATACAGTGGAACAGTATTACTTACTGGATAACGTTTCGGAAACAATTTATTGTCCATATTCATATCAGGTAAACCTCACCAAAGGTTTAATTGACTCATGCTCAAAAAAATTCTGGAGCGAAGCATGAATTACCGTTGAAAACACTCAAACTGCAACTGCATAAAGCATATTATAGTAAAAACCCAATTTCATGTGACATATCTCCTCGTCAAACAAGCCCAAAGGCCTCCCAAAGATTTCGGTCCAATGTCTTCAATACACAGCAGAGAGTGTCTAAACCAGGGATCATGGTCACTGTCAAGCTTATTGGTTATTTTGGAAAACAACCTTTCATCTACTGGCAAAGACATCTTAAAAGTGCCCTTTTCAGTCACATACACACCTCGGTAGATCGAAACATTGACTCTGGTTATACTATATGTCCGGAACATACTGAAAACAGATCTTGGGGGAAAAATTCTGTAGGACTCATTTACGGAACTACTATCCGAATACCACACGAAGTTTCCTAGTCTCAAAGTTTCACATCAGTCTTCGACAAAGTGTTTTGCGCCACTGGGCCGACATACGCAGCGACTTCATTTGCGTCTGCTCCTGTTCAACTGACACCTTCGTTCGCCCCGTTTTGCAGTGAAAATCACATGCTTTTGTGCGCTCCGATTTGATTCGTCAACTTCTTTGATTAACTTATGACGGGCAATTAATAGACACGAACCGACGCAGAAAGCTTCAGGCTATTGATCAAAACGAACGTAGAATGTCAGCATCGACGCTTCCCTAGGTGATGTCATTCCCTCCAACAATAGCCAGTCGGAAGGAAACATCCAGATATTCGAACACCTTGAAGACCCACCTATCGATATTGGTGACACAATCCGCAGCACAACGAAGAGCATGTTCAGCCTAAACCACCAGGCATCGGTGCATTTCATAACATGCCCCACTGGGTAATGTACCTGAAAATGGGCCTTTTCTGTTTTTCCTCGGGGCACCCATTTTGCTGATAACCGTAATTTTTTTAATGCTTTTTATCGTCATGGTATCATTGATTCGCACCGGCAGCAACTGTTTTTGAAATCGGTGTCATTTTCTTCTTCGATGATTCCCCCCATATAACACACGTTTTTGTCATTTTCAGTTTTGTAAGATTTTGTCAAGGCACTAAACGTTTCTGCTTTTCATTCTAGGTGCAGTGAGCGTGAGACGAAACGCAAGAGTCGAGGTTGACTCTCCAGGTCATTCATTGCATTGTAGTTTACAGTGACACCCTAGGGTAGGTTCGAACAACCAGTAGCCATAGGGTTTTACTTCCAACCAGCATCGCCAAATGTTTCTCATAGTGAGTTTTAGTAGCAAATAAACCTCTAAATTCAATCACCTGAGATATGGCTATATTCACAACCAATGCTGATCTTTATGGATTAAGCTGACTCGTTAGACTAAGGGTACTCTACCAAGCATCCGGGTTACTTTCCACGCTGTCGTGTTACAGTGCACTACTTGTTTGTGACCACCTCGTTAGCTAGTTCATCCCTCTTGGTATGCTGTAACGATGTATCATATATATGATTTATACCCGCCTATGAACAACTATCTTTGTTGTATGTCTAACTCTTGTGTCTAGGACTGTGAATGGTTGTTTGAATTTATCATGGTCTTACAATCAGACAACTTTAGTCAAGGCGGATAACCTGTTCCTCAGCTTTACACTCTTATTCGCTCTATTGTTTGCTCCTTCCTTGTTCTTCTTACCTATTTATGGACGTGCGCAGGGATTACCCGTTAATTTTGCTAAAATTTGGCCCCGAAAAGCTCTCTTATGGAAAACCACCAAAGTCAGTGAGAAGCACCTTGGTACTAGAACCTAGAGCCATATATAAGAGGTGTGAACTAGGTACAGAAACCCTAGTTCGTCATCTAAGCCAAGCATAAGCCAACCTTCAAAGAAGTGAGTACTACAAAATAGTCAAATCCCTAACTTGCGCAACACTTTGTACAGGCCTGTCCTCAACGACTGAAGTGGTAACTTGCTGGTATATCCAAAACAGTCCCAGTCAGCCCGTAAAAGCTGCTGACAGAAAATGTCACGGAATCGGGACGCTCTTGGAAAAATACGGCGGTCATGGTAATGACTGTCACACATGTGACCCTATTGTAGCCAAAAGTGATGCTACCTTTGAGTGTAACTTCGTCAATAGTCGATTATATTGTAAATGAGATTAGGACGTAATGAATCAATATTATATCAATATTTATAAATCATTTAAAATAAAAATGGTGTTTCCTTTTCATCATTTGTTTACTCATTTTGTACATTCTTTCTAATGCTTGTAAAAACGAATGTTGCTCATTTGCACAACTTGAATGTTGGAATTTTTGTTGTGGTGACATCACCGTAATTCAACTTTTTTAAAAACCTGGAAATATAGGGTGCTTCTGTCTATCCTGAGTTCTGCCTCCGTTAATTACTGTGTGATATGGACACCATTTGATGGTCCATGAATTTTACAAGACCTCTCATCCTACTTCCAAATGTCATGACAATACAGCCAACCAACGTCAACTCTCGAGTGCTAACAGTTGTCGCTTTCTGAACTTACACTGTAGTTGTGGTGGACAGTACCGAAGAGATGTCATTCAGGTAACCAATTATTATCCATAACACTGGAATTACTATTTCGTATTATAAAGCATAACTTTTCGTATTCGTGTATCGTTGTGTCTATTTTAGTTAACTATAATTAACTTGATATTTTGGTTTGCTTGACATCTCTTTGGGTCCGCTAGAAATGACAGGCTAAGTGAGAAAAGATAAACGTTTGGAAAGCACTTTTAAAATGCCATATGTCGCACACAGACGTTTTACAACCTAAGGGCTATCTTTTGCCGGTTGTGAAATGGTCTTTGATCGCCTTCCAGAGCAGTTCTAACAATGAGGATGACCCTGCGTACCGCAACGGAGGTCGAAGGCTTCCTTTCAACTCCTGCATAAACCGATAGCCACAGTCATCCACGAGACCCCAGAAGAAAATACATTCATACTATCCAGCGATGATTACGGTAGTTGAGATACATGAGGTAGTGTTGAATACTAACAGGGACAGTCTTTATGCTTCTGCTACGCTCATTAAAGATTCGTCCCGATTAGCGGACGTCAAATTCAGATGCCAGGGGCTCAAATTAGAATTTCTACACCTTTATATGGAGAGAGTCAAGCAGATTGTTTTGACTCAGCAAAGACTGCAGAATCTGCCTTGGGAAAAATCCTCGCTCTCATGGTTCTGCTGGAACTTGTCGGATAGCAGTATCTCCTTTTACTTTATCAAGCAATCCTCCACAGTCAGTTTCCACAGAAATGGTGCTTTTTCAGAATCTCGTTAAACTACTTCACGGTAATATGTGAAGACCCAAAGGCAAAATGGAGGAAATACTATCCTTTTGTTCCTACCTTCTTCCCAAATCACAATCCTTACAAACTTGGTCTTCGTTGCACATTAGTGACACGGAATCGAGCATTAACTATATGCCTCCGCTCAGGAGAGATAGGAAGTAAAAGGAGTAATCAGAAGCTGGGGCGTACATGAGAAACCAGTTTAAAAGCGACCATACTACTGACGCTGACCCTACAGAGCTTCTAGACCAGGTCTTGTGCCACCTCACATTCATATACTAAGTACCTGGTAGCGAGAGTCTGCCAACCTCCTACTGGGGATATGGAACGCAAGTAGCACCTACTTCAAATGATATACACGGTGTCAACTATTTGGTACCACCAGGTCATCAAAGTGTGTGATTCTTACGGCCCAACATTCAATCTTGATCGAAGATTCCTAATCGCCATTGAAAAAGCTGGGCTGAATAAAAAGATGGGAGATGAGAATCGTTAATTCTAAAGGGAAGGTCATCAAAAAGAATTGTCTTCTCGCTGGCGACTACCCAATAATACAGAACGGTGAGTTTAAACTGCCTCTAGCAGCAGTGATCGTGGTATGACAGTGTTTGATCTGAAACTCAGCAAACAACGGCAACCTGCTGAGGCCTAGGATACCAAACGTTTCCTCTAAACATTTATATCACATTTTTTCCTTTCAATTTGTTTCGATCGTTTAAATATTTCCTTTAAACATATTTTGTACTCTTGCACATCTGAAAAATGTACAAGCAACTTGCCGTTTCTCTAGCTAATAATAAAACGGAGAAAAAATGTCACACTTTATGGAACGGAACTTTTCAGTGAGCTAAAGCGCATCACATTTCTTTATCTCAGATACTTAGCCTGATTTACTTATTCTTGTACTGGCTGAGTGAACTGTTGCTACTAACTTAAGCTTGCATTTTTGTTGCTTCTTCATTATGGACCGGGCGATAATCCAAAATCAACTGGCTCCTTCACAATGTTGCCTTGAATACTGTTATTATTAACATCATTCAAGTGTAATAATAATTCCGCTTGAAAACATTATTCTGGAGTTATTTTGTTGAAAAATTACATGCTGAGGCTTTCACACTGTAAAATACATATTTTTTGGAATATGGTTATTATTATTATTATTGCTATAGTGGAAGTGCTTTTGTAGTGATGTTTGGAACTACATGGATGTCAACTAAGGCACTGGATAGAGGGCATATAGCGTGAGGTACTGACACACTCCTAGGTCACGTTCGCCTCAGTCAGTTAGTCTTAAGATGCGTTCTAAGGAGCGGTTATTCTGTTTAGCGTGACAATGGCCTAAAGATAGTGTTTTCAGCTATAGGCAAGATGTCTGACGATGTAACAGCAGTGTTTTACAGAGTTATGATGTTTAAGCATTTTAGCAGTTGAAATGCATTCCAAGAAGCGTTTTTAAAGTTCGATAAGGCACTGTAACAGAAGAAATCAGGTTTTTATGAACTGGTAATTGCACATTAGGAGGCTAATACGCACTATATAGTTAAGGTTAGTCGGAGAAATGACAGTTACGCGGTACTGCGATATGACTTTGGTATATATATTTGTACCTTCAAACAGAAAAGGCGTAATAGATCAAGTGGTATTAGAATGAGAATCCCATAGGTGCTTTCTTTAGTGTTAATTTACATTCCCATAAGTTTAAATACATGGAATGCCACTAATCTTTCTGTGTTAGACGCGTGAACAATGAGCTGGTAGTTTCATGCATTAAAGGAAAACACAGTCATTTGTGTACACTGAAGTCCATTCGAAGACACCTGTTGGAAAGCGAAATACTGTATATTAAGCCTTTCATGGAGCGCAATACATCTATATTTGAATTATTACAACCTCAACCTTTGAGGATGATTACGAAACAATAAAATTAAGAAATGATTGTCAATCTAGAAAACTCTATGTAATTATTAGGTTCCTCATTGTAATTGTAGTAATAAAGCTTCCTATTTCTACACACCTGTTCTGATTCCATCCTTGGAGAATTGGTCCTAATTATCTAACTGAATGCTTTACATATATACTTAGCAACTCAGATTATGAGTCTTTTAAATAGGTATAATATAACGCGGTACTTCCAAGTACTTCGTCATTTCACACCTCAAGAACTTATTAAGACTGTCATTTCAGAAAACTGCAGCATTTAGAAAATTGTTTACTTTGGCGAATAGCATAAATGATAGTTTTACAAAGTTTGTAATGACCATTTCTTCTTACTCTTCCTCATTTACCACCAAGTTCAGTATCCTTCCGCCTAAAATTGAATTTTAACATAAGGTACGAGTGGATAACGGGGATATATAATTTTCCGCTGGTATAAGATGAAGCAACCAGTCACCAACGTGTTCTTCATTACAGCATTCTCAGTTGTCTATATGAATATACACCGGCTTCAACATACAATTTTAGGTTGCTTAAGCAACCTCTCCTTTTGTGTTATTCATTTAACAGACATTATCAAACCACCTATTGGTAACATTAATTTATTAATGAGACATCCGAATAAGCCAGTGTGTTACGAACAGCAGAGTTGGTATTAAAACTCCATTCACCTTCAATCCTATTAAATGGGTTAGCATCAACCAACCTTTTGGATGGCTTCGTACCGTTTAATAACATTTGGTTTATCCTGAAATGGGCGCTTCAACCTAAAATTCACATATTATGCAGGTATTCTGCAGCAAAAACAAAATATATCCTAAATAATTATGTGCGTGCATGCGTTAATAGCACATAAATTTCACTTTTTTTTCACACTTTCAACACTTCTCGGCACACAAAATCAAGATTTATGCTGTTAAATATACAGTATAAGTAATATTTTAACCAAACGAAAACGCCTGGCGATCTTCCTAATCAACTGATTATGCACTATATATCCAATCCCGTCAACTAATATCTATCAGTATTATAAGTTGCAGTCAGTTTTGATATTACGACAGAGACTTATGTCCTCCCCTCTGTAGCATCTGGGACCATTCAAATGTAAATTTCTTCACCATTATCAGTTTGGTAATGCCTGTAAACCGGCTTGTCTCTTGCTAAATTCATAATTTCAGAATCCAGTGTCCAATATCTGTCTAACGAACTTTTCTAAACTCGTCTATTTCTTGGTGCTCACTTCTAGAACTTGCAGAACGGTTCTAGGTCTGGCGGATTTCGATGCAGTAGATCCAGCCACTTGTCTACTACAACTCTAGTATACTCAACAGGTGTTTGAGTGTTGATTACTTCTCCTGACACTGTGGTGGAGTTGGGCTCTTCACATGTTGACTCGCCAGACAGTTGTTCGAACTGTTCGTTAAACAGAGTTGGAGGTATTGAAGAGATCACTTAGGAAGACAAATGTATGTGAGTAGAAGACGAAGAAAAGTGAAATGAAGGAGTGACCAACTCACATCCAAGTAAAACGAGAGGTGTTCAAAGACATGCAGAAATTAGGTGAATGAGGTTAAATCATAGCGAATAGGAGGGATAGAAAAAACTCAAGTGAGTAGAGTAAGAAGAGAATTAGTGTAGGGGTAACAGTATTAGAGTGGTGTGACAGCAGTTGGTTTCTTCGTTTCAGTTCATATTCTAACAGGACGAGGGCAAACCGTGGGTCACTGCACAACTGTCTAGCTTTTTCTGGAAACTGTCGATAGTTGGAGTAGAGGCTACCTCTGAAAGTAGTGGATTCCAGTGGCCGAAAACTTGAAGGGGGAAGGAGTGTGAACACACAAAAGGTCTAGACCTTGGTGAGAAAGCCTCTTCGGAATCCCACGAAGATTACCATGGTGGCCACTTGGTAGTATCCCTCTGCTTGGGTGATGTGTGTCATCTAGTGTTTTGTAAGCCGCTACCAAATCACCTCGCGATCTTCGGTAACTAGCAGAATACAGGCCTAGGTCTTTTGGCCTATCCTCGTATGGTTTTGATGCCTCTCTACAATACCCTTTGTGGCTCAGCTTTTAACATTCTCCAGAAGGTTCACGCTTCTTTTCAGGTATAGTGGAGCGAAGGCGTTAGAGACCTCAAAATGGGGTGATATGCAGGTCCCCTAGGGTACCAGAAACAGCTCTACGCCCAAAGTATGGTACAGCGCATGCTTTTGAGGCATCTTCTGGATAGTACAGACCAGTGTCCAGCTTCTCCGTTACCATTAAACCCAGGTTTGTCTCCCCCTCAGCATGAGAAAGATGTGAACCACAGAGAGAGTAAGAAAACTTTCTGTGGATCAAAGACACGGAAAAACTTGGATTGGATCCGAGTCAGTTGCCGATTCGTATTTTTTTGCCCACCACTTAGTGTCTAAAGGTCATCATCCCGTGCAGTTGGTTATGTTCAGCACTCTGATGCTCTCCATAACGTGATATCACCAGCGTAACGAAGAATAGTATCCCTGATATATAGCGAGAGGTCATCCATGAACAGTAGGGACAAATACGAGTCCGGAATTGCTCCCTGTGATACACCGCACGATGATACTCTCCAAAATGAATAAACCCTGTTGACTTTCGTCCGGAGCTCACCACCGTCTAATTAATTCTGCGACCACAATAACACCTGGTTGTGGGTACCCAGTGTTGCTATTTTGTGCGTTTAGATGGCATGTGAGACCATGTCAAAGATAGGCGAACAATAGCGCAGATTGAGATCTTGAGGTACCAGCACGCTTTACAGTGATCAGTGGATGCCAGGAGGCTTTAGGCACAGGACCTACCTTTTCGGAAGCCGTGATGGACGAAATCGAATACTTGCTTTTTCCTATGTATTCCCTGATGTGCTTGTCTATCACACTTTCTATAACTTCTGATATTACTGGTTAAAGTGTTATGGGTCGGAAACGGTTCGGCTTCTGCATGTCTTCTCCTTTGAAGAAAGGGGAAAGGATGGGGCATTTCCACTCCCATGAGAGCCTCAGTTCATCTAAGGAGTTTTAGGAAACGTTGCTGAGTAAATGAATGTTTTATTCTCACATTAGTAACTTAATATGACAAAAGCCAGTTTACAGGCACCACACTGATATATATCGAAAAATCCACAAGATTTTACGAGCTCTGGATGTTACAGTTGGTATGTCATTAAATTCTATTAAAAACAGCAAAAGATCATGCTGGTCATGAAACAAACGAGAAAATATCACTTTTCAGCGTATACAGAGTGTTAAAATTTAGATAATAAAGATTATCCTAACATAATAGATCAATAAACGATCATCAAACTGATAATTCATGAAAGTTTACGAAATGTTATTAAGTATTAAATAATTCACATATCAAGTTATTGATGTGCACAATCTTATTACAACTTACTGTAATTCATTAGACTGGTATGGATTTTTATCTCCCTTCACACAGACAGGTCCCACTACTGGGAACGAAACCGCGCAGTGTCCGAAGTTTGCGTTATAACCAGTTGACGTTGTTATTCCATTTCCATAGTTTGTTATTTAGTAATACAACCCTCTATTCTTTTAAAAATTCCTGAGTTTATAGGTTTGCTAACCAGAAAGGACTCATTTATACGATCTGAAGTATCGGTAAAGTATCCACAGTTGTGTAACCAAGGTGACTGTCTAAATCAAAGCATTGCCAGGTCACCATGAGTAACCCTGCTGCGTCATTTAACGTTGGCGGCTGTTAAGACTGTGGGTACACGTGCTGGTGTGATGGGATGCTGAGCTGCATGTCAAAGGTAGTAGCTAACATTTCGGCGATCTCCTGTTCGGAGAGGTTTTCTCCATTCTGTCGTTTGATGACCCATGCTCCTTGGCTTGTAGATTTTCCGTTCGCCATGAATCTGCATATGTTTTCGAGGTTTACCGCAAACTTCCGGACGAAACTGGGCTGCAACGACCTCTTGTCTCCACGCATACTGATGTTGCACCGATTTTGTAGGAGTTGCTGTTACCACAAAGAGGAATCTTTCCGAAATCGCCACTTTATTGATATCTCTAACTAGTGCTCAGTGCTGGCCAGCCGGCAAGGAGCGCCTATCTACTGCCTATGAAGTTATCGACAGATGTTTTCAACCAATAGATGGTCACTATTTGGCATATAATCAAGCCTAGATGATTTTCCGCCTGGCCTCCAGTCGGTACCGCCCCTTATCTTTTCGTGCAACCCAGCCATTTGGGTAGTGTTCGGCAGGTTTCGGTCTAACTTCCGGCCAGGAAACGGACTGCCCTGCCGTGAGCTGAAAGTCGGGATGTTGGAGTGACCAGGTATTAGGAGGCGGTCACAATCTCAAGGTCGGCATTGTGGACACTACATGGAGCAATTTTTGTTCACTTTCTACATTGCTATTAGGAGGCCTACAGACTCCTCCGACCAGACACTTAATTGATCTGACCATGAAGTGGCACTGGATTAAGCCCGAGAGCTCTGTTAATGCATTGTTGGCAGTTTGTTACTTTTTGAAGCAACCCCCACGTATGTTACAACCCCCCATCCGTTTTTGTGTTCCATGCCTCTCCTGATGACAGCCATGTTATCTATTCTCACTTAAGTGCCTCTAATGTCTGGCGATAACTAGGCTTTCGTCAGGGTTATGGGGTGGGATTACGAGATGGGGAGAAAGGAACGGGAACTTCAACATTTTACCTCAGAGTCCCCTCGCTTTGTTGTGAGGACACCCGTAGGAACTTCTCACAATGTGAGATGTCACAGCACAAGTCCGGATGTGGTGAGGGTTTCGCTAACCGGTCAGGTCCGATAAAACTGGCTCAGGTGGGTTTTTCCCTGGGGTGATTGGTGCAGTTGGTGCTAGGTCGGGGTTGCCGGCCTGGTTTTATGCGTTTCGGTGTATGGTAATGGTAACCTGAACATTGGGAGTAACGGCTGTTTGCTATTGTAGCAGTGCGTTAACGGCAGCATATATTCCTCCTCACGGTGACCGTGGCCTTATGCCAAATCTGTAGCAGTTAAAACTTCCGATTGTCTGAAGTTGGTGGCGATTAGTTTGTGTGAGATCTCAGTCATCAGGCCCGAAGGATGTGGCAGCCCACCGACCACCATCGCTGAAACCCCATTTAACCCCCTCTGGGTCGATAACCACCCCCACTGCCTGACGTCATGGGTGTACTTTTCTCCTGACGTACCGGTTGTGGCTTCAGATATTTTGGGTATGACCACGGTTGTGGGGCTCTGTGGACCACATGCTTCTCCAGATAATTTAGGAATTGTCCCGGTTCGAAGTTGGCAGACGCAGAGGCCAATCACCAATCATTCGTACTTGTTATATACTCACGAATACGAGACCAAGAAAGAACATGATAGCGTAGTCGGATGGAGTAGCATATTTGCTAGGTCGTGCCAAGATAACGATCCGTTCCAACCAAGTGGCTAGAGTCGATTACGAGCAGTGTAGCGTAACACGACAGCGTGCTAAATGGCGAGGATGCTTGACCGGGGGCCTTCAGCTCAACAAGTTCGATAAAACTATCAAGGCCAGAATCAATGCTGAATCTCGTCGAACCCCAGGCTATTGATTCTGGGGAAGTGTGACGCTACAATAACTTTCTCACCATCCATGATCAATCCAGTCCATCCCTAATGCCATTGATCTGTTTATAGCTAGGGTGTATGAAAGTGAAAAGAACCTGTCGGCCTCCCTAGTCGAGCCTAAAAGGCGCCTAGACCTGGCATGACACACAGGGAGTCGTGTTGCTACCTGTCACACGTACCCGGACGCCCTAGAAGGCTGCTACCACGTTCAGGACGGCTAAATAGAATGACAGAGTTTGGTCTGTCAGCTATGCCTACGTTATCTGGTGCTACAGGTGGGTCTCCATGGATACTTCGAGTCTCCTCCTCCACTATAACCCATATTTCACGTTCATTCACCATTGGCTGTCGCAGGCGCAGAATCTAGGGTTGGTGGACAGACCGAAGTCACATACAGGCGTGGCACGTCATAAAAGTGTGGTACTGATTTGGCATTCGTTTATCATATTGGCGGTGCACCCACCTATCTCAGCAGTTGTCCTCAAAGGCTGCATCACTTATAATCGAAGTGGCAGCATATACGTAGCAGCCATCGCCATGTCCATGGGGTTTTGCCAAATGCCTCCCTCTTACCTTTTGACGTTTCCGCTTTGCAGTTTTCACTAGTGGGTGGGGATAGGTGTTGGATGTGGCGGTCGTCTCCGTTCCCTTAACTGTGGACAGACACGTTTACAGTGGAGTCAGAATTCGAGGCCTCGCTAGCTTGAGGCGTTGAAAGTCGTAACTGTTCGTTCGGATTTGATCTGTAGTGGGTTGGCACCCTTTAAAGCTTTCTTTGCCACTTTTGACACCCCTTAGCTCCAGCGCTGGTTATTACTGAGAATGAGGGGTCATTGACTGTGGTGAAGCCGTGCTTGACGTGTTCTGAAGGGTTAACATTTTCAAAGGTTGAACGTTGTTACTACGCGTGTTAATAGGTAGATGAAGACGATAATGGAGCCAGCGAAAAGGGTAGAGCAGTAAATGTGTGAAGGAAATAGTAAATTATCAACCTCACCTTCGACCAACTGTTACTGCAACCGTGCCGAATTCCAAAAACTAGCGGCAAGTTCTGGGCATAGAAGTGAGTGAAACATTTTCTACTGCAGATTCAGTCAGCTGGGCTGTAACGGCTGGTCAAAACAGCTAGACTTACCATACAGTTGTCCCGTTGAGGTGGGATAGAGGTGACCAGACAGGCAGTTGTGCGTTCCTCCACAGAACTGTTGCAAACTCGTCGGATAGGTAGTTGAAAGCTCCCAGTGGAGAGTCGTGGATGGGTATTTTGTCGAGCAGAATGGAGACAAGCAAGAAGACGTCAGTATACATAGAGCGTATATTTCTTCTTTATTTATATCTCTATGGTAGTACCTGAAGTGTTCTTCATATGGCGACCGCATTTTGAACTCCAGAGGCACGTCTTCAAAGGGATGGTCCTCGAACATCTGTCCCCAGTGCCTTGAACGCCCAGAAAACAGGTCTAACGATCAAGAGAAAGCGTTCAGCGCCCTTTGTACATCACGAGGAAAGCACAATTTGTGGGTGATGAACTCAAGCTCAGCGGATTTTTCATGGTGCTCGACTTTCTCCGCTGCGGTTTCATAGTTTCACTGTAGCTGGTGCTGCTCATATAACTGAGGTAGCTAATCCCTGCTGGCTAGTGGAAGTTATGAGCCGTAAGGTCAGAGGTATCTTTAAGAAGCTTAATGGCTTTTATTTCCAGGCTATCCAATAAATTAGTTCAGTTCGCGAAATACTGCTTTTCTGTGATAAAGCACGGAGGCCCTTACATCACGTCTTTACACCGGTCGCGCTGGGTCATTATTTGGTCTCTGTAGCATCTGGTGTTTGCCTCGAAAGCATCTTGACCAGCCTTATTTACTGCTGAGCCCCTTCACGAATAGACTGAATGAATCTTCTGGATTTTTCCGTTGTTTAGACATCATATCATATTTCGTTTTCCGTCAACCTACAGATATACCTTGATCAAAGAAAAGACGTGGTTGTATAGAATTAACCCTTAGAGTGAACACTGATGACGAAAAATTTGGCTTTCCAGAAAGCATGTTTGCTGTTGCGACTGATGTGTTTTAAAATGGTCGTTGCTGAGAAACGAGGCACTCAGTCTAAGTTTTTGTTATGCTCCTTGAATGTGAGCCGCGGTAGATTCCGGCATAGCGTGTTGTGAAGGAGTAGCGATCTTAATGATAAGTGCTTATTTCTGAAACACAATCAAGCCACATGCGACAGCATTGATACAATGTGGATAACTAACACAAAATACACATTCGTGCTCACAGTTTCCACCGGGTAGGATTAGCTTTATCTTGGAAGAAACATGATTCTCAGTGGTGGATGATGTCTTGATAATCTTAGATTTAGGCGTCACCGGCAACGAATGGGGTTCGCAGGCTGCGCCATTCACTCCTTCGATTACTTACAGGCCAAAGATAATAAATAAGTAAGTAAAACAACATTTTATTTTCAGGTTACAAATTTAATGTGGGAGAAACCGGTTTCCAGGCACCATCAAGCTGACAACTGTAAAGAAACTAGTGTTGAATAGTACGGAAGGGAGGACATTAAACTGTACCATGGTATCAAGTGTCTTAAAGTCAGGAAAAGAGTGGGAGAATATCGCTTTACAGTACGCACACATTCTTTTGGGTTAAAGCTGCTCCTACTTACAAATCCGCTCAATACTCGATGTTTCAGTTACGAGTAGTCGGTATGATTGACTGGTCTACAAAAACAAACGTTTCTTCATACAAATATCCATTTTAGGAGTTATGTTTATGTTCACAACCTCATCGACCAAGAATAACTTACTTCAATGGTTTCACGAATAGGTAAGTTTTCACAGGGACATTTAATCCAAGTGAATATACAGATTCAAACATTTCTCATTCTTCAGGTGTTATCTTCTCGAGCAATTCAGATTCATAACACTGATAGTGTTTGCTGTGGTTCAAGCAATCAAACATGAGAAGAACCGTCATTCAACAGTGGCGGATTTCAAACACATGTGAAACCTCATATATCTCACATTGAAGTATGCAGCATTGTCAAGGAGATTCATTGGCTGTTAACTGTCTTCCATTAAACGGATCCATGCAAGATAAAGTTCTACGGAAACCTGTTGCATAGCATTATTAAGGATATGTTGCCTTCAGATGAAGCGATCTCTCAGATTTAGTTGTTTATCCAGATTTCCCCTGCATTTGTGACGGACCAGAAATCGGAGACTAGCTATTGTGCTTCAGGTTTCGCATGCAGTAGCGTTTAGGTCACTAGTAGGCGGGTGAGCTGATTGTGGGGCTGTCCAAAAAATAGGAAATCGAGGGCAAGCCAACCGAAAATTCCAACATCGGTTTCCAACGTTTAGTACGAGGTAGGATATTCAGTAAGTCGATACTTTTCGAGTCGTTCGAACCATATGCAAACTTTAATTTATGCGTGTAGGAATAACTCTCCTGTTTTTCTTACATGAAGTTCCTAACAGTTACCAGATGGGCGGTTTGGTCGCTAAACTTAAAGGGAACACTTATTATATATTCAAACTCTTCAGATTATACAGTCCAGCCAGATGAACTAGTAATGAAACACCCTTTATGAGTCCATTAGGGAAAGGGGACTTGAAATTTATGATAGCCCTACCCTACACGTTTGGGGAGCCTAGTGTGTATGGAAGACATATAATGAACCTGCAATACGTACTTCGTCAAGAAGTCCATTACGGATGCTGTGCTGGATCTACCCGAGT